TGCACTATGTCACAAAGCTCAAATCATCTTAAACTAGTTTCTTGAACGTGACAATGAGTACACCGTACACACCAGATCTTACACTCCCACACTCACCAGATCTCAATCCAATAGAGCACCTTTGGGAGATTTGCATCTTGGATTTGCAGCCAACGAATCTGCAGCAACTGTGTGATGCTATCATGTCAATATGAACCAAAGTCTCTGAGGAATGTTTCCAACACCTTGTTGTACGTATGCCACAAAGAATTAAGGCATTTCTGAAGGCAGTAGGGGGTCCAACCCGGTACTAGCAAGATGTACCTAATAAAGTGGCCGGTGTGTGTATATACATCCACGTATACACCCAGAATTCTTTGAATTTGCATCTGGGATGAATATAAACAGCATCAACAAGATGATCATATGGTTTTCATCTTCACAAGCCTGACATTTGGGAAACGGTGTCCATCTTGACAGTGTTTGAGCACCAATCATCATTGCTGTAACATGATGCTTGAAACATAGAGTACGCATCCTCTCTCATCTTGAGTCCACACAAGACCTTTAACAGCAGACTTAAGTCCAAGCTGGGCCAACATGTCTCCTTTCCCGGCTCTCTTCACCGGTGCACCTGCTGTTGTGCCAAGTTCAGTTGATCGGCTGGGCAAATCGTTTAAAGTCCGCTCCTCTTTAATCCAAAACCCACGGCTTCCTTTTCCAATGACTCTTAGTGTTTACACTTGTACTGACACCTCAACTCCTGCAAATTCTTCAACTTTAACTGTAACTACCACACAATATTTCAGATGCAACATGTCAACAAACATTACATGCTAAGATCTCAACCAACATTTCAGCTGCTTTCATCTGTTAGCAGACAGGTTAACTGCTTTCAGCTGTTACTCTTCAGTGTGTTTCAGTGCTCACTTACAAACTGGAGACTCAACTTCTTACAGAGCATAAATTTTCAAACTCAACTGGCAATTCAACTCCTATGACTACTTCAACTTAAACTGCAACCCGCATCCAATATTTATCATGCAACTAATGATTCAACTGCGTTCAGTGCTCTCACTTCAACTGACATTACATTTGCTTTCATGGCTGAGATATCGACGTCCTTCTCAGATGCTTTCACCTACACTTCAGCTGACAGTTTGCTTTCAGCTCTGACATTTCAACTGACACCTCAGCTCCTTTCAGCGCTTTGACGACAGCAGCTTATTTTACTTGCAAAGAATTAACATTTTAATATTTTTTGTACCTGCAGTTTTCACTCTCTGCCTTTTCTTATTAACTTAACCATCATCTTTAAAGCCAAATTGCAACATGTCTTAATTTTGACCATATTCCATTACTGTGTCTGGGCTTTTTAGGTACGTGCAGGCTGGATGAAATGTTGGTTGCATCCAGAGGATAACTCAGATGTCTGGACAAGGTCAACCATCTCGCAACATGTCGAGGAGCAGAGCATGACATTGTTATTTTCACCCGGGTTATATTTAGAGCTGTATGAGTGAAACCATGGAGCCAGAGAATGCGAAGGTTTAGACACTATTAGATTTCTTATCATTAACAAGATCAAAGGATTTTTAACACCCTATTGAGAGAGTTATTTCAAAGCAGTGCTGCAGCCTGTATGATCTAGCAATATGTGTTAATGTAGATCCATAGAGAGACATACAAGAGACAGAGTTCCTGGCTGTGGAGAGAGAACACATTCATCTAAATCCTGCTGATCATCACAAAAGAGGCCTGTGTAGTCTCACGGGGATGAAAGCAAGTTTGAGCTGTCTCACACACTTAAACGTTTCTCCAAATGTCCAAAGGACAATTCAGACAGCTTACAACATTTATTCTTGCATGTTTAAGATTCTGGTCAGCAGTTGACAGCAATACAGCAAGTTGTTGTCAATGGGAGACTGAGAGAAAGGGAAGTATCTAGGCTGAACTTTCAGATGTAAGCTGAAGTGAGCAGGACTTCCCCCTTCTCTGGTTTTTTCAAAGAGAGCTGTTACATAACCCGATCCAAGCGGCGTTAACAACAGACGCCCTCAGTGAACCGGGCAACGCGAGAGGCATTCAGAGGAACTGATTTTCAGGAGAAAGAATTTACAGATGGGCACAAAATAATCATTCACAACCTGAAAAAGCCTTTTGAAGCATATTGGTGTGTGTTGCTTGGAATGGATTTAAAAGACAAGATTTAGTTTTACTGAAAGATAAATACTGGTAAAAACAGAAGTTTTTTTACTGTTTAATAGTGTTCATTTGAACATCAGTTAAATTAAATTACAGACCACACATCGCCCCTTTCTTACACAAACTTAATATGTATATGTGCTAATGTTGCTTTCCCTCGTGTCCCTTTGTGTTTCCATGTAAGGACAATGCAAAACTCCAACAGGCTTGCCTCCCTTCCTTTTTCCATGTCAGTCTGTCAGTAGGTCTTGTGCAGACTTGCCCTTGTTTTCATCCAATCAGATGCAACTGCCTGACAACAGGGAGCCAATGAACAGCGTTGCATGACAGGGGCTTGGTAAACGGGGCGGCCCTGAGAGCTCAACTCCATGTATGATGTAATGAGGCTTGATTTACAGGATAGTCAAAATTCCCTCACCCCTACGAAACATGATCACTTCACTTGAACTCTCTAGTGTCTAGATAAAGTTGCTAAATCTTTCATGCTAAACTCCAAAGCATTTTTTATGTATTTTAGAAGGCTACACAGAGCTTTCATTAGATATACATCTACATGAAACGGCCTCAAATCTGGCAGCAGCCACGTGCTATCACAGTCGCAGTGGTGACTGAACTCGAATAACCTTGTGGGGACTGCACAGGTTACACTGTGGTTAGGACCATCTGTACTATGGGGCCCTGCTAGGGGCTACGACTGGTATGACACGTCCCAGTACAACGAAACATCTCAGCAATTCACACTGAGACATCAAACAGAGGACCATATGCTCCCAGGCAAATGTTGAATTACACCTTTTTTATAGCAGCTCAGATATTAGTGGCATAATCAGGAAAAATGTGGTTCTTAAGTGATTTTAAAATATATATTTGCATTCCTTTATTGTATCCAGGTTTTAAAATGGAAAATTGTAGGTGTAAATTTGATTAGAAATGCTTTTTCATTGCTCCAAATATAGTAAAACTGATCATTAAGTGTGATTTAATAGCACTTTTACTTCAATTTTAAGCATTAAAGCTGCTTCTTATAGTGAAAATCTTGTGGATAACTCATACCAGTACTTCCACAAGTGTTCTTTTATTGTAATGGGTAACAAAATTAAATTCAGAGAACTTCAAATGAGAATTGTATGTGGATATCGTTTTTTGTGTTTAGTTACTGAGAACAGACAGCTGCCTGCAAGCTAGACAGAAGTCCGAACATGTCTCACACGATGCCGCCTCCTGGTATTTGGCTTTGTTACTTCACTGCATGAGGCTCCATTGTGTCTTGAACAGAAATAGTGACAAGAATTTGTGTGTGGGGGGGGGGCAGGTTTAGGTTGCTCTCGATAAGGCTTATCTATGTAGTTTAATTCCACAAAGGCATTTTAGATAACAAAACAATAACAATAATGTAAAGTGAAATAGAAGTGCCAGTGAGGTCACTAGTAACTCATCATGTATTTAAGCTCCCTGATATCAGATAAAATAAGAGAAACAGAGTTGCTGGTTCCCTCTAGTGAATAAAATAAAGTCACACCACACTTGTCTGAGTTACAAGAACGCATTAAGTCACATCTCCAGTCCTGAGCCTGACAGTTTATTCTTGACCTTGGCAACAGCCGTTGATAAAACAATCTCAGCTCAAGGCCCCACATACTGTGCTTCCTTGTTCTGGAGATTTCTATGGAATCACACAGTCTTTATTAGCAGGCTGAGTTTGCCCGTTTATCCTGGAAATGTAGATGTACAAACTTCAAACATGATTCTGAGCGCCCTTTAGTATGTCTCACCCAGGTCTGGTTAAAGTGAGATTATGTCAATTCTAGTAAATAGTGGCCACAAAGTGCTGTAAATACTAAATCCTACTGTAGCTGTGGCACAAGTAGGAAAGGGTAGACTTAAACCACCCTAACTTACTCCTCATTACACACCAAGTGAGGCTGTAGCAGAGAACCCACCCAAGGGCGTGCTCATTGTTTATGAATTCAACAATTTGTAAAGGGAAGATTATGTTGTTTGTTCTTTCAGACATTACATATTGTCACTTTAGAAGTTGACAGTTCATTCTTGACCTAGGCATCAGCAGTGAACAAAACAATCTCAAAGAGTAAATCTGCTGATATAGACTGGGTGAGATGGTCAAAAGCTCCAAAACAAGCATGTAAGTGAACCTTGAAAAGAGACAGTTAACTCAACATTGCAATCTTTGTTTGTTTGTTCTTTCTGGGAAGGTGAATTATCATGGAGAAAAAAAAAATGTAAGCACATCCAGAAAACAAACAAAAACTATTCAACAGTTGCCAGATGAAACAGAAGATATTGTGGCAAAACGTAGAATTTGCATACTGTTCTCTGTTCCCACAGTGTTTTTGAATTATTTATCAATCAGATATTCTTTAGGCACAAACAGCACTATATACTGTATATATATATATATATATATATATATATATATATATATATATATATATATATATATATATATACACACACACACACACACACACTTATGTTTGTGCCCAAAGATCTGTACAGCATTTTCCCCTTTATCATGTAGCTTGACAGTAGTGAGACGAATCACAGCACTGAATCAGAACTGCTAACACTATTGCCGGAAAGTCTTCCTTGTAAAGAGGTTTTCCTCTGGTACAACACAGATTAATGTCACGGTTCTTCGCACTATTTCTCTGAGGGGGAAATTATCTGTGATTTAAACAAATATTTATTCAGTCCAAAGGGATACTCTGAAATATGCCTGAGGGAGAGTTTTGCCCTGAACATTCAATTCAGCTTTCATTACAATAATCCAACTGACAAAACAAAGAGATAAAAACTATGATTCACAATCATGCTTTATTCTTCTTGATTTCTTATAAAAGAATCAAATAAAAGGCTCTTCAAGATCTCACACACTGCTCAGTCTTTCAGTCTTGCTGTATCCCAGTTTCTTTAACTAAACTATACTTTTCTTAAGTATCTTCATCTTAAATGTCTTCTGTTAGTTTGTGACTTCAAACCAAAACATCATTGATTGTCAACACAAAATCTGTCTTAGCACCAGTACAATAAAACTGTACTTTAGCTTTTTTGAAATACTGTTTTTGAATGAGGGAGGAAAATCTCAGAATAAAGGGATCCTAATAAGTACATTTCAAAATGAAGCACCAACCATACAAAGCATTTTTTTTCCATAGATAGGCTTGTCAGATACACAAGAGGTCAAATATATTAATGACTATTAAATTAAGCACAACAAACAGTGTAAATAAAACACTGCAACACAAAGCACTCTGGGATCTGGAAACACCATATCAGGACGTGGGGGACAGTCGTGGCTGCAGTTAAGAGGGCGTCTCAGCTCCTCGGGATACCGGAGCAGGCTCTGGACTCCAGAGATGGTACTACTTTTTCTCTTAGACATCCACAGGATTCTGTATCAGTTCAGGAGGAGTGCAACCTGGGGAGCGGAGAACACTACTATCTGTCCAGTTCTGTAAACAAACTCTCAATCTCAAAGTCCATAAAGACATTATTTCATACTGCGAGCAGGGACTTGGACAGCGCAGTGCTGCCTGGGTGTACTTTGTGAATTGTGGAGGAAAAACAAACAGCCATTAGGTCGGTCCAGTAATGATCTCTCGAGGATGATAAAGTGAAAAATGAAACCGAGGAGAAAATGGAAAGGAGTCTCTGATCTGGGCGGGTGATTATGTTGGAAACATTATGTGCTGTGGTCTCTTCTCTGCAGGTCTCTAGGTCTCCCAGGTTGACGGAGAAACCTTCTGGGCCAGTGGCCTCCCTGACTTAAGCGTCTTAGCTTCACGCAAGAGTTCACCAAGATAAAAGCCTTGGATTATCTCCCGTCGAAAAATATCGCTTTCCCTCAAGGAACAAACTCAAACAAAATAAAAAAGTCCTAAACATAATCCGTCCCTTGCCACAAGAATACATTTTTATAATCAAATGTGTTCACCCTGATGGCAAGATATACATATACACTACCATGTATATACATAGTCAATACAAAAGGTTTGCTCAATAGTACTCAATGTATTCAAATATACCTATAGATAGGAACCTGAATGCTGCTTTCCAGCACCGACCACTCTCATGTGCAGGTCCTTGTGATCACTTAATCACCTTATGTCTGAGGTCAAAGGTTATTGAAGGAGTGTCAAGTCATTAATGTAGCTGGAGTTAAAACCCATGACCCTCGTTACAACGGACGGAGAGGTTTCCTTTGAGCAGCTGCTTACAGGGAAGGACTTGGGCTGACACACTTGGAAATGACAACAGTTTGCACGTTGGAGGAGTGCAGTGAAAGAGAGGCTATCGGCTGCGAGGCTTCCCTGTGTTTGTCAGTGTATCCTCCTCCTCGTCCTCCTCCTCGTCCTCTTGCAGGATGTGAATGGAGGAACCCAGTAGTCTCTGGAGCTCTGGTACACATCGCACCAGATCCACGACTCCCTCTCGTTCCTCTTCCTTGTCGTCCTCTTCCTTATTTTTGCCTCTGTAGGGTGAAGCCAAAGCGGAGCTCACCTGGCTGACCGATACCTGACTCCAGAGCTCAGCACACGACAAACTCACCACCTCCAAGTGTGGGTAACGCGCCCGGAAGATCCGCGCAGACATCTTCAGGCGCTTCAGGACGTCTGTCAGGAGGAACCAGTTGCAAAAGCTGCAAGAGTGAAAATATGTCTGATATTAGCCATAGCTTAGAGTAACGAATAAGAAACAAAAAACTTCAGATGTGTCATTTTAGGTTTCCATATTTTAAATAGAAAGCATTCTAAAATGGATATAAAGAAATGTATGCATATCTAGGAAAGTTTAACTTCCATATACAGTATTTCTTTGCACTTGCCACCTACAAAAGTCCTCCAATAAATCCTCCCGTCATGAAGGTTATAATGTTCAGTGTTTGTTGGAACAGTTTTAGAGGTGTTGATTCAATTCAGCTATTATTTTGTCGACCTAGAGCTGGGCCAAAAATGTTATCACAATATAAAATTTCGTCTCATTGGATTTCGATAATTATCACGATAAATGTCAAATCTTTATTTCTTTCGAGTTTAAAGGCAGATCATTGCTCCAGAGTGAAAGTTGAAGCAACCAGATGGTTAAGTGTGGTTTTAAACTCTTCTTTTTGGTCAAAACATGACAAACACCTGATGCCAAACAGTGGATTACTTCACAAATCTGAGGTAGAACATTCAAAACACTTATTATTTATGGTAATTGGTTTGTGATTCAAATGAATTAAGTCAAACATTTATTGAACATTTGTTATATTGTTATTGAGGAAAATTATATTGCTATAATTATAATCAGCCATCGTACCACCCAATTTATCTGAATGAGGGTTGGCTAAAAAGCATAAACACCTCTCTGTATAATGTAATAAGGGAGAATTTATTGCAGCACTGTTTATATTAGACTGGTGCAACTGCGTGTAAATACAAAAGATCACAACTAAACAATTAAGTGACACAAAGCAATCATCTCACACACACAAAGGCATTAATTTAAACAACATATAATGATCTCCTAGCACAATTTTGGGCCAAATACTTTAGGTTTTACAGATTTTAATTTAACCCAACTTTAAATGACTTTAACATTGAACATTAAATTATATATAAGTTATTATAATCATTTTTGACCTTCTAGACAGCCGTTGGTTTCAGCTGATGCTAATACTGTATGAAAAGCAACAAGCAGACACTTGAATCGTCCTTCATGCAGGTAATCCAGCTCAGTGAGCGCATAGTCTGCTAATGTTTTTCTCAATAAATCATGTTGGTGGAATAAAACATTTCAAAAGAACTCTCCTTGCTGCTGAGATCAAGCTCTGAAATCAATTTTGAGAGTTAACTGCCACAAAAAGCACGGCAAGTGAGAAAATGAAAGTCAGAGGGCAAACAAAGTAATTGGACACAAAGCACAGAGGCCTTTAGAGTTTCTTACTTTAAAAACATTACTGTTTGGTAGGTGACACTTCATTCTTGAGTTTCCCATAATTACGTGAATGCACCATAAAGGGGAATTATTTAAATGGTCAACACTCATATGTAAATGCTCCGCACTCAAAGTGCTTTTACACTACATCTGCATTCACCAGTCATACACTGAGCCTAAGTGCTCAAACGGAAACTAACATTCACACACATTCATACACTGGCGGAACAGCTGCCAGGGGCAAATCAGGGTTCAGTATCTTGCCCAAGGACACTTTGACACGCAACCAGGGGGAGCCAAGGATTGAACTGCCAACCTTCCGATTAACGGCTAACCCACTCTACCTCCTGAGCCACAGCCACCCCAGTTTTTTTATCTGGATAAAAATTATAGATATAAAGTAAAGACGATCAAAATCGGATCCTTTCTCTACAGAACTTCACTGTGTTTTGTCCACATCGACCAGCTAGTGAAACAAGTCTGTTAACTTTCCTCATTTAGTAGCAAAGAGCAGCAGTGTACAAAACATTCAGATCCTTTTTCAAACGTTACAGGCAGCAGGTCTTATCAGCTGTCGCTAATTAAGGTAAGTTGTTGGCAGGCCAAATAAAATTATATAACTATTGTTGGGTTTGTGTGCTCTCTGTGAGCCGGTGTCTATACTCTGTCAAATATTGTTTATGAATTTCATTTTACATATGAAACACACATATTTAGTCAACATTTAGGTAAATATAAGTATCGGACTGGACTGGCAGGTGCCGAATATTAAAGGACTCAGACCAGGAGCAAAAACTTAACATCCCTAATCATACTGGTGTAATTAATAACCAATGGCTAAACAAAACAACCTCCAAAGGTCCTTTAAAGGACCACTCCACAAATTTTACTGTATTTAGGCTTTGAAAACTGAAAGCAGTTATCTGAAGTCTAAGAAATAACTCAGTGATGTAATCAGCGTTATGTCAGCCTACTTTTGGAAAATAAAAATGTATTTCTTCAATAAAAACAGGGGGCATGGACCTCTGGGTGGTTAGCAGGCTGGCAGATTCTAATGGAGTTACATTATGGGAATCCAACATTTTTGAAGGTTGACCCACACTGGGGTCTAAAAGTCATGATATCTCAGCCTCTGCACTCACAAGTCCTCCAACTTTATAAAAGTACCCTTACAAAATCACTGAAGACCTAAATCTGATTCACACAAGATTCATATTAAAAATTAGACACATGAGCTGAAACACACCTGCATGTTCTACATGTGCATCAGCGGAGACTTCCCTGAGCAAAACTAAACTATATTAAAATTAAGACAGAATATATAAATGCAATATTATAAAACATTATAAATATTATGCTTCAATTTCTGGGGCAACAACCTCCTGATTCTCAGTGTATAATCAAGCCTTAATTTACTTTTTTTCCGTTTGTAAAGACAAAGTTAAACACTGCTGGTACCAAACAGTGGTGCATCACTGAAACAGTTCCTGCATATTTTCATTTTTATGTGGAAAAGGCTAATTTAATGTTCATCGTCCCACAATTGTTCATTAACTTTTACTATATATACGAGTGCACATGTACTAACTGCGATGGTGAAGATATTAGTAGTTCAGTAGGAGACATTGGTGCAAATATCAAGTTATATTTCCACCGTGCACTTCTGTGAAGTACTGGAGGTAGACAGAATACAACTCTAAGTTTAAACTATCGCAGTATTCCCATGAGTCACAGCTATCAGTATCTACTATCATCATCGCTTATTTGACATAAATTCACATAAATATAGAATAGCAAAACTCCATGAAAGATAACACTAATTTAGTACAGAATCAATTAATTAATTCAAACCACAATTCTGTATTCAAATGTGTGACATGCTAATGCAATTTTGTACAATTCATCCCTGTTTACCAAACATTCAGAGGATTGTGCAGCCTTGGCGGAGGTATCCATCACCTTCTGTTAATTCTTGCCAACAGTATTCATCTTTGTGAACTCACCCCTGGGTTAATGACACCTGAACATGATAGCAGGGCAGAAGAGGCTCGGAGGAGAACTCAAACAGAAGGCAATCTTTGTCCGAGTCCAGCTCAGTCTTCCCCGTTGGATCCTCCTCCAGCTCCTGATTCTGCTTGGACAGCAGGAAGTCCCAGCACGGCTCCTGGTCAGTCTCTGTGAGGAGGAGAGGAGCGGACAAACTGAGCTGCTTTGATAAAAGGGGGTTGGACGCCCTCTAGTGGACAGTCTATTCACACCAACCATAATAGTGTCAGTTAAAAGGAATCCAAACTTCATGATTTCAGACCCAGCTTGAAGTTAATCGCACCCAACATAGAGACAAATGGATAAGAAAATAAGGTTCACAAGCCACATATTTCAAAAGGATTAGTATTTACTTTTGGAATGTGTTTTTTTTGTCATTCAAGTATAAAGTGACAGACAGTAAGCTTGAGTGTAATTCAATGCATTTAATGATATAAAATCTTTAACCTAATGAAACCATGAAACCACTACGTTTACAAATCAAAGCTCGGGCAAGGTTTTAAGTCAGTGAGAGGGTGTTTCTCAAACTGGACAATAATAAAATGGTAACAATGCCTTCTAAAGTCAGATAAATGATCCTCAATATCTCCAGTCACTCTGAGAGAAGGCATCATCAGAAATAACAGGACAGAAATTAAGTTAATATTAAATTATATAAAGTTTACAGAAATATAGACAACATTAACAAACACAACAAAGACCGGCAGCAGGAACAAGATCAAATGCAGACCGTACTAGGGATGCACCGATCCAAACTGAAATAGGCCCGATACTGACCCAAATAGCTGGATCGGGTATCGTTGATCTATGGGGCCAATTGGTTAATTTCAAGTATGCACAAACTACATACATGATGCGTCAGCAGTGTGCCGGCAGACCCAAACGTTTCCTAGGAGAGCTAACAGTATTTTGTTTTACATAGTTAAGAAGCAGTGTTTCAGTTAAGCCTGACGTTGCCTTACACATGTCTCTTCCTCACAGTGAGGAATACAGCTTATTAATTTCATGCTGGTATCGGATTAGTACTCAGCGTGGGCCAATAACCCAATGATGGTGTGCATGATCAACCTCTTTAGAAAAATGTGCATTTTCAATACAAAAACTGAGAATAATTTACAAGTTCAATGCTTTAGACCTGTTGAAGAACATCATTCAACAGTGGATTCATAAATGGCACAAACCAAAGATTATTATAACATATATGCAGCTAGATGTGAAAAACTTGATAAACTGACATAAAGGAATGTGCTTTGGTGGAAACTTTTTCTTCTTTTTTCATCATTACTAAAGCAACACATTTTAATTATTTAGTTTTAGCTTTCGGATTAGAGTAGTTAAAGGAGGAAAAGAAAGATTTTCCCTCAGTTCTCCATGCGACTATAATCCTGTTCTCCCTCCACTGGATAACCGGTTCCCTGTGGCTGTTTACAACACAACACTGATGCTGGTACACAAGGCTAACACCCCTCCACGTCCTAACGGCCGAGACCGAGCCCAGACCGAGCACAAACTAGAATAATTTCCCTGCAGCATCTTTGGTTATTGCTCCAACAAGCCCCAACTGGTCTTCTACAGGCCAGCTGGGGAATGAGCATTCAACCATTTTTTCAGCACCACGTTTACAAACTGAAGTAGATCAATGGACTGATGTACTGGCAGACAGAAAGACAGATCTAACTATCATTCCAAGGTTTTCTTACCAAACAGGGAGCTACTGTAGAAATCCCAGGGTAAACTGGGTTCTTGTTCTTTGCGGCCTTCCAGGTCTATGAAATATTCTGTGAAAAAACAAACAAACTTGTATTATTTTACAGTTGTCTGAACAAAATAATAGACTATACAAAAATCAGTTCAGCAAATTAACCAAAGTTGCAGTTTGTCGTTGTGATAACGGCCTGTTCTGCAGCTGTGTGTGGCTGTGTTGAGCTGATACTGCAGCCCAGTTGATAGTGAAAGGAACACCAATAGAAGTCAGGTGTTAGCTGCTGACTGATGATGATGATGGTCAACAACATCAACAGTGATGTGAAAATAATCTACAAAGCTAAAGACACAGTCTAAAAACAGGCAGTCCTCTGGTCCGCCGTGATGAGCAAGAGGGACTGATGCATGTCAAACGCTTCCCAGGAAATCAGATGCGTTCAAAATAATTGGGCTTTTAATGATCAATAACTGATAAATTATTAGAAGCCTTTACTGCAACCTTTTGCAAATACAAATGAACAAGAACCTTTTTTAAAAAGGGATAACACCGCCGGGGGAATAATTGTAAAAGAAGGATCAGATGAAGAGCTGCATGTGACTGCGGTGACTGAAGTGCTTGCATCAGTTTGAGTGAACTCAAACCTCTAAACTTCAAGGTGAGTTTCACCTTTTACTGTGCTGCTCTTGTTGTATAGAGAACCACCTGAAGGTGTCCCAAATATGTGGAAACTCAACTCCAGCTAAAACTGTTGTGTTAAAAAAACATTTTCAGTTTTTCAGCTATAAGACTTACATTTTCATTTACTCTTTTTGCTTTTATCCAAGGTGACATACAATTGTTATATATACCTCTCATCTTAGTGACACATCTGATAGCATGTGGCTACAGTTAATACTGAGCCCTGTGTGGATTTAAGATTTTACAGCGTACTCATATACGCTGCTTGAAACCTGTACTGTTAGTTCTCAGTCTTGACACATTGCTTCATCGGTGATGGGAAAGTTGGCAAATTTAAGTTTTGTTATTTATTTTACTGTCTTATTTCAATTAGCTTTATTATCACTTTGTGTTGTGTTGTTTATTGTGTCTAAAGTGCTGATTTTGTGAAAAAAGGACTTTAGCCTTGAGTATAGCACTAACAATTTGAAAGTGTGCCTGTATTTATCCAAAACGAGTTGTACTGATGGAAAAGGAGGCTGATAAACAGGATGAACTACCTGTGAGGAAGGTCTTCATGCTTGGGCTATGTGCCAGTTTGACCGGAGTATGTCCAGAGTAGGTGGCCAGAGTCGGGTCTGCCCCGTGGTTCAGGAGCAACCAGACTATTGGGAGGTTATCGCTCGCTACTGCATCATGAAGGGGCCTAAAGGAAGGATAAACAGAACACAAATGCTTTTTAGGGATTGTTCAACTTAAGACCACACCTGAATCTGTTTGCATATAGAGTATCAGATTTGTGGAATGTACTACAGTACAACAAAAGCTAGAGCAACATTCAAATACTTTCCTATTATTAATTACACTCTGTGTGACTCCTTCGACTGGAAAATTAAATAAAGTAGCAGGACTTCTGCACTTAAAAGATCTCACCAAGATATGCTACCAGAATATAATCTTCATTTAATCATAAAATGCCACCATGTTCATTACTGCTCCTGACATTCAGATGTGACAGATGACTAAGGTCATAAACTCAATGCTCAAATATGTCACAAAGGTTACACCCATGACAGTACTTACATGTGAAATAATTTACACTTATATAAATTCAACTAACTAGAACCACATCTCTAAATCATGCCCCACGAAGCCTCACCGTGTCCCATCCTGGGCGCTACAGTTGACGTCAGCGCCATGCTTCAGCAGCATCTCGACAATCTGAGTCCAGCCTCGAGAGGACGCCTCATGGAGAGCTGTGTAACCGGCATTGTCGCGCCGATTGACCTCCCTGATGTCCTTCTCAAGACAGTACTGAACTACATCCTGCAGGGCAGAGGTCGGGCATATAGACTGTGTCTCATTGACATGGTTCAAAGAGGGACACTGTTTACTGAAGTTAAATTAATGCTGGCAACACCATAAAAGTAAACAGGCGGATATTACCTGATAGCCCAAGCGCGCAGCACGTTGCAGCAAGGTCTCCCCAGCATTTTTATTGACAATCAGCCGACGAACCTCTGGAGGAATGGGCCTCTTGGGTGGAGACTCTGAACCGCTGCTTCTTCCCGATGAGCCTTTCTTATTGGATGGAGATGACAGCAAACTTTTTGGAGTAGGTGGGGGGCTGTCTGTTCTTTTTACCTCAGCGGCGTCATCATCCAGGGCAAGTGAGGTGCCACGCTTGCCCGAGCTGCTGCATTTGGTCTTAATCTAAAATACAGATTTATTGATTAGAGCTCTGTGTGATAGAGCAGCTCTTGTAATGCACTGCCAAGTTAAAGCAATGGGCTCCACTTATCAAGGACCTGTGCAGTAGAAAACCAGCTGCCATCACAAATGTGACAAACATAGCATTTATCCAGCCACTGGGGGGCACTGCAAGCTAATATATTCATGGCACATTGAACCATATCCCCATCAATCCTGTATGGTTTGAATGCAACGCAAGCCTACAAGCAGCTTCTCACAAGTGACTTACCTTCGGCTCATCATTGTCACATAAGTGCTTGCTTTTGAACTTTCTCTTCCCTGAAGGCTTGTCATTGCACTCTGGAGATACCTCGCTCTCCTGGTAGCGGACCGACCCGGAGCGAGTGAATGAGGGTCTCCGTGGAGGAGGATCTGGACTGGGGGTGGCGGGACTCGGACACTGATTCACCTGCGGATCTGTGATGACAAATTGGGATAGAGGTTATGCTGAGTGGTACCAAACACATGAACAAAAGTGAATAATCCACATACAATCTTTTTTATATTTCATTTATACATAATGTGTTGATGCCGCTTTGGAGCAGCTTCCTGCTCTTGCTCATCTGCCGAGTCAAACATGTAGCATGCAATATTTTAGGTGCTGTTATGTGCTGACATCAGACAGCATGGTACTTCCTGAACCAACGGCTTTTGGCTTAGCCATCTTATCTGCTGAAACAGGGTAACTGCTGTCTATGAGCTACTCTGCTCTGCTTTTTGCAATCCTGTGCTCAGGTTGCAATATTTATAATAATAATTCTCCACATATACAGCTTGTGATATGTGTCTTATCCACATCAACAGGTGCCTTTTGTGGACCTCAGGATATTAAGCTCCGAATATATATGTGCTGTCCTTATAAACTTTAGTGTTTGTCAGATTTGTTTATTTACTGTAGTTTCTGTATAATTTCGATCTGTCTCATGATGTTCTATTAATGCTTTTCCAGTGTATTATGAAGATGCAGAGTACATTTTCATGTCTATTTAATGTCAATTATGTTTTAACTAGACCCCTGATAAGATTTCTTATGGTCAGTTCTGAATCATTTATCCTTTATTCCTAAACAGATTTTCTTATGAACACACTCAGGGTTCACACATACCTCATAACCCCACTTTTGTTGTTGGTCAGAAGCTAATAAAAACAAAATATTTAGATAAAATATCAATGGTAAGAATGTAAAATCTAGTGGTTCATCTAATATTCACCCATTCCTAAAAGCCTGGTCACTATACACCCATAATTTGTCAGTGAGCCATATTTGTTCAGCATTTTAAGAGAGTAATATTGTTTGAAAAACAAATCTACAAACTAGATTTACCGTCCCACAGTATTATGCCTCTGTCAACCAGTCAACTTGTATATTAAGCAGAAACTTGGAAGGAATTCAATAAAAAAGGTACGAAATGTTTTTTTTGGCAAAATAGAAGTTATTACTCAGCATCACGATTAGCTAGGCGCGCTCCATTACGTCCGCAGTTACTTGACTCTGATGGCGCTCGAAATTCAGAATAAGGCAGGAAATAAAATGTAGATTGGACAAGATGGAAGAAAGCCCGTACTGTGCTAATTACTGTTTACTCATTATGTCGTCCCAGTCAACGCGAGTAAAATTTGGAATTGCTCTATTCATTCTTAAATTATGGCAAAAAACCTATTCTGAAGTCTCAATGACCTTTGAGTCAAAAGTGTCACCTATTCAATGGCCGACCAGCTGTGAAATATGGTCACAATCTTGATGGTTACGGTGTTGAATAATGGGAAAAGGACATTATGATGTCACAGTGAAGTTGACCTATGACCACCAAATTCTAATTCAATTCATCCTTGAGTCCTGGTAGACATTTGTGCCAGATGTAATGAAACACCCTCAAGTTCCTGAGATATCTTGTTCATGAGAATGGGACGGACAGATGGACAACCCAAAAACATAATGCCTCTGCCACAGCTGTCACCGGCGTGGAGGCATAAAAACTTAAATTGGTCATTTTGTAATGTGTCGACTAAGTTGATTAAATCGTGAAATAATGAAGTGTGTGTTTTGAACAGACATTTCTAATGAGAAACTGCAGACAAATGTTCAGAAAACATTGTCCAGCGGCTACACAATTATTCCACAGACTAGAGCAGGTCTCCAACTATTGTCAGTACAGATTAATTCACCAGAAATGTTTTAATAATGTCAGTTAGTCTATGAAACGCCAGAAATAATGACAAATGCCCAGCACAAGCCAGCATAACCAAATGTTTTGTCATTTAGTCTGGTCAGCAGCCAAAAAAGATTAATGTATAAAAGGTATTAAAACAAAAAACAATTCAGGTTTATCTGTGAGGTTGTTTGGGGTGGTTAAAGGACTAAAACAATTATTTAATTATTCAAAGCTGCAACTAACAATTTGCATTATCATTTAATCTGCTGATTATTTTCACAATTACTTTAAAAATTACGTTTTAAATGTCAGTCACCTTCAAATGTTTTATTTTGTATGAACAACACTCCAAACCCAAAAGATATTCAGTTCACAATAATATTAATATAAAATACATAATATTATATTATATAATAGAGAAAATAATTTCTGTGAATTAACTAATTGATTAATCATCAAATTGCCCTGGATTGTATAAAATAGCTGCTCGCTCACATTTTAAAGCTTTATACTTTGGAATAGTTTTTATCGTATCTGTAACTAAAAGCTGCACGTTTGATTAAAAGTGGCTGGAAACAGTTAATTGAAAACTTTACTGATCCCTGGAGAGAAATTGCGTACCTGCTGGAATTCCACTGTCCTGTCTCAGGGAGTTAGAGTCTTCGAGGTGCTCTCCATCTTCCAGCTTGTCTTTCTCAGTGATGTAGTCCCCAGTCTGATACTTTTTGCTACGACATCGCCGGCGTTTCTTGAGAGCAGGCGTGTCAGCCTCTGCACTGGCTGTTTTGCGCTTGCCCTGAAACACTCGCTCTGGCAGGGGGTTTGAGCGAGGCCTCCCTCTCGGACGGCGGGCGGGTTGGGTGGGAGTCAGAGGGGGTGGCAGGGAAGGTGGGGGAGGAGGCATTGGTGGGGGTGGAGGGGATGGCGTCGCAAAGCCCCAGAGGTCCAGTCGAGCCTCATCAGCTCGCCGTCGTCCTCTCCTCAGCCTTGGAAAGGAGCTCTCTCTAGTGTCGGTCTCCTTACTTGATATAGCAGAGCTATTGAGAGACAGTGGAGTCTCTACACTGCCGCTATCTGTAACTGATTAAATCACATTTGATTGTTATACTCACACCAGCTTCTATGCTTAGAAGTATGATCCAAAATTGCCACCCAGACAATGTGTGTGACATTTTCTGTCTGCTTAACACGCAAACTACCATTCTAAAGAGGCTGACTGCAGGCTATTTATTTTGTGGCAGAGTAATCGAACTGTAAGCTCGATTAAAGGCTACATGTCTCACACAAGTGAGAGCACCATTAAATTTCTGATAGACATCAGAGATTTACCCACGCTGTGAGAACTTTTCAGGGCAGTAAATGTTTGTTAGAAACAAAGACTATACCTGGTTTGTTGGGAGTTGGTGGCTCAACCTTGTTAGGACTGATCTTATCCTTTGGAATCGGCTCTTTACTCTGTGGAGAAAGTTTTCCCGCTGGTAGACTCTGCTCAGGCACAGGTGCACATTGTTTCTTCTGCTGAAATACACAGGGGACAGAGTGAGCATGCTGTATTGGATGCTATTGATCAAATCTTTCGTGGCGATAGAGAGCATGTAACAGCCTCACAATAAGCCCTTGGAAGTTAAATCATCAGTCGTAGATTAATATAATAAAATGGTGGTCTGTGTGGCCAATTCAATAGTTAAAATCTTGAAAGGTAAGTGATGCCTTCTATTTTTCTCCAACTGACGGGAGATATAATAAGAATAAGAAATGAATTAAGACATTTTAGACATTAAAAGGACTATAACCATACACACAGATAATTTACCTTCTTTTGGCAAGACACTTTGGTTGGAGTTTTTTCTGTGTCTTGCTTTTTCTTCCCTGTAGCCTTCGTTGATGTGCCTGTTGCTGACTTCTCCTTTGCCGGCTTCTTAGAGCTGGTCTTCTTTTGTTTGATCGCAGCAGCTTTTACTTTGGTTGGCGACTCCTCTTTGGTTCCGTTTGTCTTTTTCTCAAACTTGTCGCCTCCCCCCGCACACTGGCCTGTAAGAATAGATGCAACCATGCCCTCCAATTTGTCACTGGGAGGATTGTCTGACGCCCCACTTTCTTTCTTTAATATCTCCCCCTCTAACACCTGGGCTAGTTTGCTCTCCATCCTGTTCCCATTTGTTGATGCATTGCTCCCAAAGAGATGAGACTGGCTGGTAGGCTTTGAGGAGGTTTGCTTCGCTTGTAGTCCAATGTGTTCTCCCTGACTGGTGTTTAATTCAGTATTATTCTCCAAAGGATTAATGGCGTTGGCCTTCTCGTGTCTCTTCATTGCTTGAGTTGAATCTCCTTGGGATGGCACACCAGCCCATTTTTCCACAGACCAGTATGGTGGGTAATCAAAAGAAGTATGTTTAGATTGGGTGTCTTGGCTCCCTGTCAGTGGAGTCAAAACATCAGCTTTTCTTGACACAACAGGTGAGGCTTGAGTATTACACTCACCTGTCAGTGCTGTTGTTTTGAGAGCTTGCTGCTTTACAATGGATGCAAGGTTAGACAGGGGAGACTTCATTCTCTCCCACTTATCATCCTCAGGTTTGGACGGGCTATGATGGGCACTCTGAAACTTGGATCCTTCTGTACCTGTGGTGCCCCTGGACTTTGGAGATCCTTGTGTGATTTTACTCTGAACTGACGAGGCTTGGTGGGGGAGATGAGACGGCTGTTGCCATGCTGGATTGACAACGGTGGTAGAATACGGTGGCACCGCTGTTTTGCCAGGTCCAGATTTCTGATGAATCTGAGCGTTGGCAGAGCTTGACAGGGCAGTTGTTAGGGCTCCTTTAGAAGGACAGTTCTTAGCTATGGCTGTGCTGGTGTTTTTAACATGCTTGACGCTGTGAGCATGCTGGTTGCCCTTCATCAGACAGGATGGCTTCTTTCCTCCTGTGGCCAGATGTTCTCCTTGGTCAATTATAGATATGAACTCCTGCTTTGCAAAACTCTGAAATTCATCTGCAAAAGTTCCTTTTCCATCTTTGCCCCGTAGGGTAGAAGCCAGTATAGGGCTAGCCACACCTACATAAGTACCAGGGATGGTTTTTATAGAGTCTTGTGAAGATCCCTTACCCCAGGTTGACTTGGGCTCTGGGACCTGGTGATTCTGAGGCCTATTTATTTGCTTTTGATGAGATCCATTTCTGTGGGTGTTTGGTAGGATAGGGTATTGCACAGCTGAACTATAAGTTGTAGAAGGAGTCCTCTTTGAATTCAGAAAATCTCTCTGGTTTGACTCATTATTATGAGGCCCAATCAGTGGAACTGGAGGGTCATTAATGCATTTTGGACGTTTTGATTTAGCAGACAAATCAAGAGGTACATCTCTTAGTTCCACTGAGCAAGCTGTATGGTCCTCTGAAGCAGAGAGGGGTGTTGTTTTTAGAGAGCCCATGGTTGCCTTGTCTATGCTGTTGCCTTTCTCCACATGGTTCAGCAGTCTGCTCTGAGAAGTGATGCTGGCCAGTGCGGAGCCACAGCAAATGGCAGCGGTAGGAGACAACGTGTAGCAGGTGGGTGTTGCAGAAGTTAATGACGGGTGCTGCAATGGTAGGGCAATAGCTGGTGAGGCTACCACTGAAGCTAAAGATTTATGCTCTCCTACAGATTTGGCGTTCTTGCTCGATGAATGGTTGGATTTAATTTTTGACGTTGATGTGCCCGCTTTTTTCTCTGCTGCTGGAGTCCGGCCCACAGAGAACGGATAGGGATAGGTCCGCATGAGAGGTGCCCCTGCGACACCTGAGCTTTGAGGCTGAGCTTCTTTCTGAAACTGACTGGCTGTGGCTTCTCGCAATGCTGCAATCTGACCCAATGCTGGTGGAAGAGTGATTTTACAAAGTGGAGAGGAAAAATTAGTGGAAGGAAGGAAGGCAACGGGCTGGACTGGTTTGAACATGGTGGGGCACTGAAACCCAGGAGGAGCACTTTGCACAGACTGTGTTTGCGGGTGTGATTTCTTACTGGATGTTACATTGCTGTGACAGGCATTGAGTGAGTCTTCCCAGCTGACTTTTATGCCACTTGACCGCTGAGGAGTGGGGAAGACCCCAGCACCATCAGACTTGAGTTTAGGGGCCTCTGCCCTTTTCTCTGCTCTCTTCTCTGAGCTGGTGAGGGCTGAGCTGGACATTGGTGCATTGCTGGGCTGCTGGGGTGGAGAAAGCTCAGGGCTGTGGTTGTAATTGCTAGTGTCCAGGCAGGCTTTTGCTGTCTTACAGTCTGTTGTTGGAGTGGTCTTGTTTTGCTGACTGAGGGTAACATCTCCTCTAAACTCAGGGGGTAGCGTCTGGGGGGGATTTCCCACCATGCTAGCAGACGCTTTATTTGGAGCACTGATCTCACTGCTCACCGTGCCTCCATCCCCTACATTCATTAGAGTAGGATCCACCTGAGTAATAAGAAAGGTTCATGAGGCCAGTGTTAATTAGATAAGAGAAAAGAATGCTCTAATATAGTCATGTAACTGTAATGAAGAAAAAAACATTACCTGCATAGGTGTTTCTTTAACACAACATGCCTCAGGGGTTGCTGAGTCTGTTAGGTGAGAGTTTTCCTTGAAGTACAGTGATATGCTGCAGAACACAGGAAAAAAGAACATTTAAAAGTGATCACTGTTAGCGCTGTTCAGACTGTCATTTAATCCTACATGAAGGAATACGGCCTATTCTTCAGTAAATGATTCAGAGCAACCAACATTGGGAAACTGAAAACTTCCTTTCATTGAGACAGGCTTGAAGGCTAGATATGTTACAATTTCCTCAGAGCAGGGAGACAATTCAGGGTAGCAGAGAGAAGTGTGGTAAACTGAAGAACATCTTCTCCTTCCCTTTGGTTTTATTTGTTTTCACGCAAGGAATACAAACAATTTGTCAGTGTTGATCAATCCAGAAAGTCAATTATCAGGGGATAAAAACGGGATATTCAGTGAGTGAAATGAGACTTGATGCATCAGCTACAATGTGGAAGGATTATGAGCCATCATTCCTAAATATCTAAAAATCTCCCCTTCACATTGTTTGCAGTCATTTTGCATGCGTTTTTCAGAGAGTTTTGCTTATGTCCTGTGACCCTTGGTCCCATGGGCCCCTGAGCCCGCCCTGGTCGACCATTCAGTAATCTATATGTGAGGCAATAAGCTGTGACTGCTCAAATGATCTTCTATTAGTGAGCAGCAGCTTCAGTGTAGTTACTGATCTAGCAATGCACGCTGATGAAAAGTGGATGACTGAAAGTAAGCAAAAGTTTTTACTTGCTTGTATAGTTAAGGATTATCATTATCACTGGCCTGTTAATTATTTATGATTAAAAATAAAGCAGCCCACCTCAGCTAAATGCAGTTTTAAAGTGGAGGGGTCATCAGTCAAAAATCCACAAACAAAATATATTTTCACAACAAAACAAGGCTAACCAGGCACCCAAGTATGACTAATAATAAACAAACAGGAATATGTCATCAGTCATCTGAAAGCAAACATTTGAAATACTGGTATACACCGGCGACACACGCCAGAACAGCTGCTGGTATGTAGGTAGAGGTGAGTGCAGGCGAGCGCATTTGCAAGTAAATGAGACGACTACAACAGGGACTAGGCAAATATATATATATATATATATGTAAAAGCTTTGAGAGAATGGAAAATGTTTCGCCTTGGAGCCACTGGAACACAACGAATACGATGCACATAATGACTGACACACCAATCTCTGCCGGAATCTGCGAGCACGGACTAAAAGGGATCCAGCGATGCAGATACCGCTCAGTGCAAGGAGGGTCTGCATTCATTACCGTACAACAGTTGCTTACAGCTAGTTCGTCTTTGTGCTGCGATCATACGCGGTCGACTCCGCCACAACATTTGAATTCATCCGCTCTGATGTAGGCCAATAAATGCATGCAGTAGTCCCGCACACACGCCGTGGGCCATGCCGCTCAGACAAAACAAAAGTCGAGCCTGATATTACCTTTTAAAAAAACAAAAAAACAAAACAGCCTCGAAGAAACCAAATGGTTGTGTTGCTACTTCAACGCGGTCAGTTCACAGTCCAGCCCACGGGCACAAAAGACACACGTCCCAATGTCATATCTGAAAAGTGCTCAATAACACCACATGCGTGCTGTGGCGTTGAGGTGAGGGGGACTCTGAAAACAACGTGCTTTTCTGTGCAATAAATATCAGCACGGAAAAACTCTGGAGAGCTCCGGGTCTCTCTCGCTCTGGAGATGACGAGCAGTCACCATAATGAGAGAATGGCAACCGGCTCTCAGGTGATCGCTCAATCCACAGACAAACACGGGCACAAAACTGCACATGCAGCCTCGTCTCCATCTCTAAGCCGTGCCCAAATAACGCAGACAAGCGTGGATTGACATGTTTAGGGATGAAGGACAGATGTGTTGGTAATATCATAAGTAACAGGAGATACCCCCCTCCTCCTCTTCCTCATCGAGTGGCTTTGCTCGGGCTGCGTCGTAGGGAGCACAATGTGTCACATCTCTCCGCCTGATAAGGTAAGTCAACATCAGAGCAAAGCCACACAGAAAACACAAAGGAGAGCCAAACAAACAAAACTCCTGACGACCACCATCCCACGAACGCTCGACAAAGTAACACTGTCGCTGCCAGTGGACGCTTTTCCCTTCTTCTTCTTTACAAACAAATGATCAATGACACCCGCTGACAACACACAAACTGGTTGCACCGAGTTACTCGTAAATAGGAGGGGAGGAAAAAGTATCCAGCTGGACAGCTAACAGAGGGTTGGGTGACACAACTTACTACACAGGATTGTGCTGCTGAAGTGGCCATGACAAGGGAGGGGGCAAACAATATATTTAACTCCACTGACCACCACGGGTAGTTTCCAGCTCCCTGCGCAGCGGAGTCTCCGCGAAGCCCTCGCGCTGCTCCCGGTGGTTTACATGTTGAGGCAGGCTACTGTTATTTATCCCCCGGCCGACCAAACGTTAAGTGCTCCCGTCTCTAGTATCGGCCCTTTGGTGGACTGACTGAACCACTTCGGTGTTGAAAGGCATTCACCGAGCTCCCCGACCCACCAAAGCCTCTCCTCTCCGCCCCCACCTTTAAAGACTCTCTTGTCTCTCTCACTGAAATATACTGAATAATGCTCCAGCTAATCAGCAGGCGAGATAAAAAAAAAAAGATGTCTAATGACAGAAACAGTTACGAACCCGCTCGTCCAGATGGCATGTGAACGACGTACAGGCACGACTCGGATACGGCCGTGTTCAGCCTTTCGCCTCTGCCGTCCGCGGCTGCTCACTAATCTCGACGGTTTTCCGTTCTAAAAAGTCCGGGGGGCGGGAGGGGCGGGAGGGAGATAGGGAGAGAGGAGGAGGGGAGGGTAGGGGGGTCGTCAAGACAGTCCGCTTCGTATCGCCAGTCTCCAGTCTGGTGGGAGAGAGGGAGAGAGGGGCAGAAGGGTGCTCGGTGACAGCATGGGAGATGTAGTGCACGGCTACCCACGCCCAGGATTAGACGCTGGAGAGGCTGGGAGGGGTGAGGACTGCAGGTACCGGCATGCAACGCGAGCTCCAGCCGCTCAAGGGGAATGGGGGATCGCGACCAAAGAGTGTAACGGTGCGCTAAACTGAAAAGGCTTATCGGGATAACTAAGTAATAAACTCTATTTTATTAACCAAAGGAAGCTCTGTGTATCACTGAGCGGGTGTTAGTGTTTCAGTGACAGTCAGGTCAATTAACAGAGTCAGAGCAGTGGGTGATGGCTGCTAAACGGAATTGCCTAAATATATATATTTATATAAAAGAAAGAGTGGGAGAGGTTTGGGTCTGTTGCAGGGGAATTAACAGGAGGAAGCAAGACTGTGGGTGCTGGAGGCACTCCAGTTGCATGCTGTAGGCTGCAGGCTGGTGCAGCTTGGAGAAGACATCTGAGTAGGGTTAGCTTCAGTTAAAGCCCTGGAAACACAAAACATTTTGCTCACAGGGTGACAGTAGGTCACAAAAACCTCACTTGTGTCTTCGTTTACTTAAACTGGCTTATTTGATATGAGCTGTGTAACAATTTCTACATTCCTTTGCAAACCAAAAATGAGCCAATAGTATTATTCCAATCTTGCTCCCAAATTCTCATTGTCCTTCACTGACAACACTAAAACATGCAATTAATCCAAAATAACTAAAAAGACAACTCATGCAGTGACATAACAACATTCCCTGGATTCATGTTGAATACTTTCCCCTCATTCATTGTGAGTGACTATAATATGACTACATCCCCACTGTACTGAGCCTTACTAAACCATATAAATTTTCATGATTTCCTTGGTTTGTCCAGGCCAGGCTTTTGGCAGTCTGAAGCAAGACCACCGATAATCTCTGATTATGAATATTAACAAAAGGAGGGCCATTCATCTATAAATCATCTTCAGTTCACTTCCATCCACATCTTGTAGTGTAGTGTGTCAAAATCACATTTCCTGTTATTATCACGTCAGGTTTTTACACGGTTTTCTAGAGAAGTGGGCTTTAGCTGAGTTCCAACTTAACTTAATTTTAATTTTAGCCCTTTACCAGACTTTATGCAAAAACAAGACAAGCTGCCCCAGTTCATAAAGACAATAGCCTTCAACACAAACACTGAAACAATCCAAACATGGTTCACACAGCAACTGCACTGACAGCAGAAGACAGACAGCCCATTTGATAAATAACAAAGCACCAACAGCCATGAAGATGAAACAGCTCTAATAGGATATGCAGGGACCTCTCCTGGAGGTATTATCATATTTACATCATTTGTAATAGAATAAAATCTACTTTACTTGCAACTTTTTCTATATTTTCACTTTGAACAAGTGCACAGTGAAACATGAGGTCAGCTTTTCCTTAACTGAAGTCTGACTATAATGTAAGTGCTGGAAAACAAAGACAGAAAAGGAGCAGAGAAGAATATATGAGGACCACCAGCTCATAGTTGCAGTTATGAGGTGAATAACGGCACATCTGCAGCTTCCACTCACACACAGACCAACAGATAAAAGTTTGAAGTATGAAATCAGTCTTTTCTGATTTAAACACCCACAGGATATTTACCTCTCCTATTCCATAATCACATTTTGGCACGGTGGTTAAGCAACACAGGTTACCCTGCTGTAATTAGGCCACTTGTCTTACCTGGATCCTGAAAGCACTATGGGCCTGCTGTTTACAAGGGTATCCGCTCCTTTAGGCCAACAAATTTCCTACTTTTCTCAACACTTGTGATGGTGAGGAAATAACCGTGCACATACTGCGAGGCGGACATCGCCTTTTGACTGAAAGAGTTTGTTTACTAGATACCATGCACGATCTGTGCCGTTCCTGACTGAGGCGGTGCAGGACAACGATCCTGTCCGTCCACCGAGAGAAGCACGGGCTGAAACTATTTAGCTGCTTTCCTACCTCGGAGTGGATCGGTGGTGTGTGTGAGAGCTTCTAACGTGCCCTTCGCCATTCGCTCAGTAATGGCTGCGTGCAAGCAGCCAAATCGTTGACAGATGGCCAAACGTGAAATTGGGAAACCAAAAACGCCGATCAGAAAAAAAGAGGAACGCCGTAGATACCCGTGTCGGCGTGAAGCACGAGTATCACAAAGTCGGCAGCTGACACATCGCATTGTGTCTGAGCCGGGGTAACCCGGAGACCTCAACGACCGCGCAAGAGCTATCCCGGTAGTGACCGGCTGCTCGGGGCTTCACCAATTATAGACGAGTTTGGTTCACGGGCTTCACGTCGGAGGTCTGAAGCTGTGGGGTTAAAAAATAACTTGTTATGCATGCAATTATAAATCTCTCTAACAGGGATGTGGTATTCCGCACACAGGCACTATGACAACTGCGATAGCACAGATTGCTTATTTCGAAGGCCTGCTTTTTGAAGAATGTCGTCTTCAAAGTGGGCATACATGGTCATCTATCTGTGAGTCATATCGGAGATTATCGACCCTATTTAGGCCGCCATGGTTTACAGCGACGAGGATGTCCCGTCTAAGTTCGTGGTTCACCTGGTCAATATTGAATGTCGAGGCTGGGAAGGCGGCGGGGGGTGAACGCTGAGTAAAAACCAAGCGCATTATTCTTCCATCTTGGTATAAGTAATGAATTATTCTACAATAAACGAGGGAAGGATGGCAGCCGATCACAGAAACAGTGAAGAATGATGTTCCTGTTTGCCAGGTTAATGGCTGGCCCGATGCGCCGTCCAGATGATGTTAAATATCTGTCTGAAATTCAAATGCATCACTTCACATATAGTTACTGTGTCAGCGTTTGGATAGCCTGCTGCATCCACAGCCGACACGCATGGACAGCAGACTCAAGTAGGCTATGTCATCTCGACACACAACTTGGCTGTCCATACATGTGACACGATCCTACATAATGCCGTGGGATAACAGCGAGACACCATCGCAACTACCGTAGCTCCCGCAAGACACCAGCTACAAGAAAATACAGATATCCAGGTCAAAGTTTGGCAGAGTTTTACTCGCCCTCAATAGCGTTGTGCAATGCCCCCTTTAATGCCCCCTGCTCGCCCGTAACGCCTTTGTTATTAGTAATCGCATGGTATTGCACCGTCTTACCTTGCGCTCCGAGCTGTCTACAGCCACAAAGCCTGCAAACAGCGCAACAAGCTATTGTTGTCTTCACACAGGCATCCGTGCGGGGCCAGGGATGTGATTTTGAAGTAGAATGAATACAGTATGCAATTTTGGCTTGTCCTCGCGATCTTCCCTTATTGCCAGTTTTCGGTCTGCAGCAGCTGGAGATGAAAATCGCGCACCCTGGGTCCTAGCGCCGGGTAAAGCCCTACAGGTGAATAACAAACAGACTGGTGCTCGCTCGTTTGAATCTTTAATTGCAGGGGACTTTGCTGGAGTCAGATAATAAATAGCCTAGTCCTTCTTGGACAGACTGTCTCGCTTTTTTACGCCCAAAGATTCAACAAAGATGTAGACATCCTGTTTGGAGGACACTTAAAAAAGGTGTGAAATAAATTTGGATTTAGAATGTCTTCAAGTCCAAATAACACATGGCCCCACATTACTTTAACAATTTATTTTGATGGCCTGCTGTCACACTGAAAATGATCATATGCAAACTGTCAAACACCACAATTTAAATATTTATTTTGCCATCCATGCAATCCTGTACAGCCCAATTTATCATGGCACAAAGCAGGCTGGTTTAATTTCCAATGGGGGCATCCATGTTAAAAAGTAAGAACGATAAATAAGTGTCCAACAATTGGCAGTTTATTAAAGACAAACCTAGGCAACAGTTACATCAAGCGTTTAATATTTGATTACAATGGCTGATTACTGAATGGACATGCTGGACACAGATTCAGGAGTCCAAGAAGACCAACAGAGACAAAGCATGGTTGAAATGACTGTCACCTATATTTCTTGTTTGTTTGTTTTGTTTTTTTGCCACTGATATTGCTCTGTGTCTTTCAATACCGAGTATCAACCCACACCAAATCCGATCTGATATTTATTTTTTGCACAGTTCAGACCTACATATAGACTGGTTAAGCAGTTTCCATGTTTGACAGCTGAGTAACTCTGCTTTTACAAAATTTAACTTGCACACAGGTCCCCCTTGGTGGGTTCCCCATAGAGCCCAACAGATCGGCCAGTATACAAATATTAGCCAATGAATGAAATTGAAGAACTGAAAAGGCAAAGATGTGTTTGGAAACACAGTTCTATAGTTTGTCTGTAAAATGTCCTGCCCCGAACTTTTCTTGGCTGCAATTGTATAACAAATGATTATTTATGTTATGGGCTGTGTAGAGGAAATTAATATCTGAAAAATCCAGCACAGACTTTATTTATCAAGAAGGTTGTTGAGGTAAACCAATTATAATTTCAGATTTTTTAAACTCTCAAATTTCAGTATTGGCCTTAAAAATGTAAATGTAAACAAATGTATTACTGGGCTACTGTTTTGTAATATTTTGTATAATTTTTTGGGAGAGGGGTGTCGGTGTGGATTTGCTGTGGCTGGAAGCTTTGGACATGAGTTAGACAGCCTCTCTTCATTTCAACATGCCCTCATACCTTAACGACAAAATAGGTCAATTGTTAAAGATTGTTAAGCGTTTGCAAGTACTAGTACAGCGAGAGGTGGACCTTAAGTTAATTATGTAAGTCACGTGACGTTTAACACGTAGTAAAGTTTGTAAAATGGTCTTAGTTTGGTTCGGTTAGGCAACAAAACTACTTGCGTGGGTTTAGGAAAAAGTCATGGTTTAGGTTAAACCTACGAAGCGTTATTTAACCAAAAACTTTAAATAAGTAAACTTTTTTTGTCAGTTTACTTGACACCTTCATCCACCCCACCATTTCTTTACACGGACTTTATCGCTCTTTATACCATGCCACCTGACTTTTTCCTTTGCCACAATCATACGGCATCTAGAGGTTGCGGCCTAACAATCCACGTAAATATGGGTCTTAATAAGCTGCTGCATAATCGACCCATACGGCCGTTTTCCTGTGTTCAGGTGCAGCGCTTGAGAGTTACAGTTAACCTGCAAAATATCTCTGAAACAGACACAAAATTAGCACAGACAGCATGGGCATCTGTTGCTATATACGAGGGGGGCCTTTAGACATTTGTGCCCAGGTGACAATTGTCACATAATCAGTCTGTGTTTATAACCAACATCTGCCATCACCTGCAGTCATGACATCTAATACATGCCCTTATAGCTGAAATTTTATCTTGTGTGACCTGTGGACAAGTGTATTGTTATTTCACTAATGAATCACGGTTGTAAATGTGTTTAGAGGGAGCTCATGTATGGTAAGCAGATCAGAAACAGCTAGTCCTTGTTCTCTTGGCAACATGGCACAGACAAGCTAGATGTTCGAAATGTACAAATACAGAAAATAGGCAAAACACAGGAGCACAAACAAGTCTAATAATAATCAGTAGCATTGATGCACACAAAGCTGGCTTGTTTTATTCCTTTGCTGTAATTACACACAGACCTCTTACAGAGATACCATGGCTGGACATGTAAGGTCAGAACATCCTGGCAACTTATTAGAGGCTTGTAAACTTTCAAAATAAAAGTATGTGTTAACAATGCGAAATGTCGCAATTTCGTTTGGTTTAGGCAACAAAATTACTTGGTTAGGTTTAGGAAAACATCATAGTTTGGATTAAAAATAACTATGTTACCTATTTACTTAATTAATGTAAGTTTACTGACATAACATACGTAAGTTCAGTAACGATACTTGTGTAACTTACGCAACATACGCAACTTACATAGCCTAAGTAGCCTACGTAACTTAAATAAAAACATTCAGTGTTGACTTTTTGTCTCATAAGGGAAACGAAAACACGTCTCCTGGTTGAAAGTCCAATTTCTGGCCCACTGTCCACCGCAACTACCACCTTACTCGGACTTCTCTGTTAAATATCCTACACAAACCTTTACCGTTCAAAAGTGAGTCTACAAGGCTTTTCCCCAGTGCGTTGAACTATGGGGCTCTCCAATGCATTACAAACTGACGCCAACAGGTCTTGATCATGTGTCTGTATGTGACGACTTGGGATTTTGAGTTGATACAGTGCACATGGTCTCACTTGTCTTGTGAAAGTCATCTGTACTGGTAAGGTTGAGTCAAGCAGTCTGTGTCTCAAGAGCAATACGGGAGCAGTACCTGAGATGTTCTCTAAAGGGTCTAACAAAGCAGCACGGTCAGAGGCACCGCAGCAAACTAAAGGCCTCTGCAGACAACAGCCACACATACTGGACAACATTTAGAACAGCTTCCTGAGCCATGAACAGACATTGCTTTCATTTAAGTGGTGTTGAAGCCATCACCCATTTCGGAGAGGGCACAGCTGGATTCTGCCGGTACAAGTCGGCAATTTTTATAGACCCTAGTGGAATGTAGCCGTTCACATATTTTGAAATTTATGTGCCCAGGTTTTGAGATAGCTGCTTCTGAGATTTCAACTGCCACCCCAATAGAATGAAGTGAAATTAATTTAGGGAAATGTAGCATGAATTACTCCAAAGCACCGTGTGTTTTCAGAAACAATAGCCTGAATAATCTGGATAATCTACAGACGTCCCTGTAAACAATTTTCACTGTACTGTAATACTGTACTTTCTACTGAAGAAAGAGACCCTTTGGAAACTGTTGACAGTGAGGTCTGTGGATTATCCTGAGTAACTGGGACACTGCAGATGAGGTTTTTAAAAGTAATTTTCAAACTTTTTAGCAGCACAAATGAAACTGTATTAACCCTGATTCTACTTGGGTGGCGTATGAAGTTGTGGGAGGTGGGAATTTAAAAACACTGGCACATTCAACTGAAATTACCTGCATGGCCAGACACAACTTGGATTGATTGATAATTTTTGTTTAATCCTAGACAGACTCTTTATTCCAGATGATGCCACTGTCTGAAACAGAAAGGCAGGTGATCGTTCTCAATTTGTTTCTTAGGAAGAAGAGACAGACGGGAACAGTACGGCTAAGATGAACACTCAGGAGGTAGACTTTGTAGATGCTACTGATAGAGAGGGCATGTGCTGTCTGTGTAGACAGATTGTCTACAGAGACTCTGCAGGCCAGTGTCTCTGCAGGGAGTTCATCACAAGCCACAAATGTGTGCAAGAAGAGGGCCATCAAAACGTGTAACAGCAAATGGTTTGCCCTGTTATACCAGGAATACACGGCACACCTTAAAGTCCCACTGAAACACTAATTTAGTCATGACAACTGATTGTAGAGAGTCTGCACTGGTCTGCAGGTTACCATCAAGAGGCAACCAAATATGAGTATATGCCAAACTTTACAGCAGAAATAACAGCCCGTCCTCACCAGAAAAAACGCCATATAGGTCGATTATGGAGCAGCTTATTACAACCCATCTTTACGTTTACTGTTAGGCCGCAACCTCTAGTGGCCATATGACGGTAGCAAAGGAAGAAGTCAGGTGACGCAGTGTAAAGAACGACAAAGTCCATGTAAGGTAGTGGTTGGGGTGGATGGATGTGTCAAGCAAACTCAGGCGACAGAAGTTTTAAGTTAAATAATGTTACGTAGGTGACTTACGATACATCACATGACCTATGTAATGTACTTATTTTAACCCAAACCACAACATTTTCCTAAACCTAACCAAGTAGTAGTGTTGCCTAAACCTAACCAAACCACTATCATTTCACAATGTTAACCATTGTACCAAACATTGTAACAGACTTAAGATCCGGTATGCCTGTCTTTGGACTGGTACTATCCAACGGTTGTATTTGTCATTTTGGGGAACGATGACATATGTTGCTTTCAGGAATATATATATATATATATGTCGTTTTGAGACAAATGACAGCCACCATGAGCACCATGAGCCGCCCACATTGAGCTTCACAATTGCTCTTAGGTGACTATAGGTGACATCACGGATAGGCCTTCTACGTTTTATACAGTCTATGGTTATGATGGGAGATTAAAAACTTAGATTAT